AAGCTTGAAAATTCATACATTTATATTCTATCTTATTAGTTTATCTTGAGAAAATAATAAATAGATATTTCATTCGACTATATTTAATCATATTGAGATGCTTTTATAATCTTATTTTGAATTTATAAGATTATCTTTCAGAAACGATATATTCGAGTTTAAGATATATAATTCTATTTAAAAGAAAAAAGATAATAAATTCTTTTCATGACTTTTATCTTAATTATATTCATTTCGATAAGAATATTTTCATTCTTGTACTTAACAAAGATAATTAAATGGAAATGTATTTATTAATAGAACTGTAATAGTTATTTACCAATAGAGGTGAATCTATTGCTGTTTGAATATAAACGTTGTCAAATGATTTTGAATTATAATTACTGATTAAAAAGGGATTCTTGATAATTCATACAAAATTCATCTTTATTTTAAATCGGAATTTACAATGTTTATGAATGTTTTTCCAAAATTATCAAACTTTTTTAATAATATTCAACCTTAGTATTCGCTTGAGCCAAGTTATTTATCAAACATACCTCTATAAAAAAATACAATATAGAAATAATATTTTAATATGATCATAATTTACCTAATTTGATTTGTTGTATTAGCGAAACCTATCCAAAATTTTTCATATTCTTGAACTTTTTGTTGCATAGAATCAATTTTTATTTGTTGTTCAGATTCTTTTATTTCTAATTGTTTTATTTTCGATGTCTGTTGTTGTAATTGTATACGTAAACATTCAATGGATGTATGTAAATCAGTATCTTTTCTTTGAAATGAAGTTAAACATTGATCACATGTTAATAATACAAATGGACATTGTCTTTCATGTTCTTCATAATCTTTTCTTATTATTTTTTGTGCACAACCAATACAAGTTGATAATTGATAATTACATTCTTTTTCATGTTCTTCGAATTTAGTATATGAAATAATCTCTGGACATCCATTTGGTTTATATTGACAAAGGATATGTAAAGTAGATAAAATATGTGAAATTGTTTTTGGACACGGACGTTCGATGTATGATAGACATTCATAGGGACAAATTGGCTCAGATTTAGTATCATTCAAATTATGAATACAAGTTGAACAAACAACTTTTTCACAGTTTTTACAAGCAACTGGATTGAGTACAATACCTTGACAAAGACGACATTGAACTAGTTCAGGTAATTTTAAATCAATAACACGATCTAATGATAATAGTGGTACTTGATTATTCGAAATTATATCCATTAGTTGTTTTGTAGAAAAAAAGCAGTTAATATTTGAAATACTATTACTTTAAAAGTATAATATAGAATAAGATCTTGTGACTGTAATTCTTCAATTTACATAGTGTGAATCTTCTTCAAATAAAGGACAAAAAAATATGTTGATAGATAAAATCCAATGATTCATACAGGTTTTTATGTTGGAAGATTTCATAGTTGTCGATAAAAAGAATGAATAAGAATCATGGCGACATACGTATATTTCAACTAGTTTTATAGAATACTTTCATTAACGTAAAATAAAAACATCGTGCAATGTTTGAATTTAAATTTTTGGAAAACAATAACCCTATTGAGTATTTAATAAGACACAAAAGTTTATACAATTGAACAGAGAAATATTCCGTTTCAATTTTTATAATATATCTAAAATCATGACGTACAAAATGAAGATGAAACCATTTTTTCTTTATTCGCAATAGAAACGATATTTCAAAATACTGTCGTCTTTCATTGCTTTATTTGTCTTTCTTTCACGTGGTTTTTCTTCCCTATAAAGTCATATTAATATGACTTAACAGAACTGTATTTGTTTTAGTAGTTTTATGAGACACTTGTATTGTCTATTAATAATAAATTTGATGAGTAGCAAATAGTTTATACATATATATTTGTAGGATTTAATCAAATAGAAATAATTATTCATTATATATTTTTTGATGAATATAAATTAATCTACTTATCGATCTTTTTAGAAAATATATGTTAATGACTTCCGTAAATATATGTAAATCTTTTATATTCTATTCTTCTATTTTCATTTAGAGATAATCGATTATCTTTTTAAAAAATCAATTATTCATTACTTAGCTTTCTTCTATCTATTTTTATTTAGGTATTTGTCAAAGTTGTGGCTGTTCTTGGAACAAACATATGCATCTTACTTTTGGATATAAGATAGATCTTATCAATTATGATTGGGCTACAGTTTAATCCAAGAAAGGACATGATGAAACTTTACTGAATAAGGTTAATAAATATATAGAAGACTTGCGTAATGAAGAAATACTTATTTGCAAAACTTATAATAAACTTTGCAAATTTCTTTATAAAAATACCCTATTTCCAATCAATGATGATTTCATCGACTATCTTCAATATATTGTTCAAATAGAAAAAAGTGAAACAAAATGTTGATGCTCACAACATCGATATTATTGTTAATGTGGAAAAAATTATGACTGATTTTATCAACGGAATAGAATTTTTTTAAAACACATTAGAAAACCAAACAAAATTAGAAAATACAACAGAAATACTCCAATATCACGAGATATTTCTTCTAGTTGGTACACTTTATCGGTTATCCCTTAACGCACAACAAATTCGTCATCAAATAGATACTATATAAATTAATCAAGAAATATTCAGTACGAAACACTAAATCTATGTTGAACTACCAATAAAAGCAGCTCAATCGAAATTGATGCTCGAATTAAAAAACATCCTGTCTTCGCAATAACCAATTGTACACACTAATTATCATTTCAAGATGTATTATTTGTACTCGATATAATCAACTCTTTGTTCATTATAACTATTTTAAAATTATGGTTACTTTTTACTTGTGTATGATATAAGACGTATCATTTTATGTTGGAAGAAATTATTTTCCCATTCTGTTATTTATATATGACGTTGTGGTATTTTTTTATGTTCTGTTTTTATGTTTTATTTAAAAAAAAGGAGTTTTTTTTCGTTCTTTACTTTCTTTTAACACGTTTCTTTTTATTCACAAGTGTCTAGAAAGAAAATACTACGGTGTACATCTGATTATTTTATCAATAGCTGTATTAAATAATATTTAGGATTTATCAAGTAAGACTCCAACTTAATCAGTTTTTCTTAAAGAAAATTTTCATATTTTAAATTGTATTAATGATAATACACAGAAAATGATTTATTAACGATACTTCTTTCATCAGCAAGTGGGTAAAACTTGAATAATTACAACTTTTTGTTACAAGAGTTGTAGTGATTGACTGGATGTTTTTTAAGAACTAAATTTAGGAATCAGTTCTTATTTTTTTAAATAATAAATGATCAAGCATTTTACTAGAAACTGTTAGAGAATAACTTTGATTTAATATTATCAAAATTGTTCATATTGTAGGAATTTATTAAATTATTGGTATTAATTCATCATCAATCATATTGAGATAGTAGAGACATGACTAACATATTACCTGCATTAAAAAACCTTTTGAGTCATTCAAGTGAAATAAGAACAGCTGATGTGGAACGCATCGCTATTGGACAATTTGGTAATATTGGTTCAATTTATAATAGTTATCAAGATGAAATATTAGGTAATGTACATAATAATATGAAAGCAAAGACAGTTATATCAAATGACTTAGTAATGTGTAAATTATACCATGGTCGTACATACCAAACTCAAAATTTGCTCGAAATGGTTGGTATTGATCGACAATTACGTCTTAGTATTATTTTACAGATTGTACAACCAAAGGGTATAGCTTCCATTATCAATTATCCACGATCTATCGATACATATACTCGTTTTTTGTACTTTCGTTATCAATCTTCAATAGAATCATGTCATACAGATCTAATTAAAAGGCAAAAACTAGATACATCATTTAAGTCAGACCCACGTGCAACACATGTTATAACTAAAATTATTCGTGGTATCCATGCCGTTGTTATTATACAACTACCACACGATGAACAAGCTGAAATTGATATTTTATTAGAACGAATACGTGCAAGTTTAGAACACAAAGAAAACAATATTCTAATGACATTGAAAGATCGAGATCTACTTAGCCGTATTATTTCTACAACAGTCTATTCAAATATATGTACTTTGTCTGAAATAACTAATGTATACGATATATGGCAGAAAATCTTACAAATACGAGATAAGACTAATGAACATTCTGATTTAGTTTATATTCTTAGTTCTATTCAACAAATCAATCTTGAAAACACGGACAATAATGTAAACAATACAACACTAACAGAGCATGATATCGAAAATTTTGAAAATAGCTTGCTACAAAAATTATCGAAATTAAGAGTTTTGAACGTACGTATAAATCATGAATTACCCGAGTTACTACAAGATAAATTAGAAGAACCTTTAACAGTTGCTCGACAAAGTTTCTTAGAAATAAAAAATTTATATAATAATGTCATGCAACAAATTGGAAATCTATTTGTACGTTTACGAAAAAACGAAGTTGAAATAAATTCTGTTACCGAAATATTAAATTCCGATGTTCAAGATACAATTGATGCGAGCACACGTCGTCTGACTGATATTTCAGATGATCTTAAATTTAAAGGAAATTTAATTAAACAACTTGAAAACACAGGATTTGAATATTATGATGCTGCTAAATTAGGACTTACCGAAAATTCTAATGAACAATTCGTTCAAGATTTACTCTTAAAAAACAATTACAATAAACTATTTTTTTGTGCCACTGATCATCTAAAACAACAATCATCAAAACAATGGGATACCCTTTATTCTCAAATGATCAAACAGCGACAAGAAAATTCTGAATTGGCCATAATCTATGCAGATTTTACGTACACTAAATGGAATTTAAAAGAGATGATAATTTTACCTTCAAAACAGCAAACAATCAATATACCTCAATCAAATGATGAATATATTAATATTCTTCTTCTCGGTGAATCAGGTGTTGGAAAATCAACATTTATTAATGCTTTCGCTAATTATCTTCGTTATGACACTCTCAACCAAGCTGAATCTAGTAAACCATATGTTATAATTCCTGTTTCATTTGTCATGACAATTAATGATGAATACGATGAAGAAATTGTTAACTTTGGTGATGTAGATTCCAATGAAGATCATAATAATTCAGGTCAATCCGTTACTCAACAATGTCGATCATATGTTTTTAAACTTTCTAATGAAAAAAAATTACGAATTATTGATACGCCTGGTTTTGGAGATACAAGAATTGATAATCAAGATAATGTTAATATGAAAATAATATTTTCATTCATTAATCATATACCATATTTAAATAGTATATGTTTTTTATTTAAACCAAATGTTAAACAATTAAATCGGTTTTTATATTCATGTTATAAACAATTATTTGAATTTTTTGGTGAAAATATTCGTGATCATTTCATTTTTTGTTTTACCAATGCTCGATCAACTTTCTTTGCTCCAGGTGATACTCGACCATTGTTACAATCATTCTTTAATTCATTTCCTATTAAAAATATACCATTTGGAAAGAAAAATACATTTTGTTTTGATAGTGAAGCATTTCGATATTTAGTTGCTTTACAAAGATCTTTAGTTTTTAAAGAAATTGAAAGAGATGAATTTGAAAAAAGTTGGATACGATCAGTGGCAGAAGCTCAACGATTTAGAAATTATCTTTGCAATGATCTTCGTTCATATCGTAAGAATATTGAATGGCAATCAGTACAAGAAATTCAATTTCAAATCAATTCTATAATTCGTCCAATATTAGAAGCAATACGAAATATTCTTCGAAATATTTTGTTATTTGATGTGAACTCATATATTAAACTCAAACCAGTTAAAGTCAATGAAGATTCCGTTATCTGTTATTCATATGAACGTCAAAGACAACAATTTGGTCAATGTTGGATTTTATTGGATCATCTACATTCATTATCAAATCAGGTTAGATTATTATCTAAAATTCAATATAATAAATATATTTTCTTAGTTTAATTATTGATATATTTTTAGTGTTCATTAGATCAACATAGTTCAGTTGCATATAGATTGGGATATGAATATGTTAACGATCGAATAAATGAATCATTAGTTGATTTGAATCAGCAACGAACTACTCTATGCAAAGTATCTGCAGAATTGGCTTGTTTTCTAACAGCGTCTCAATTAAATCAAGAGGACCCATTTTTATCTGGTTTAATTAGAATGATCACAGAAGAAAATATGATTTGCCAAAAAGAAAATCAAAATCATATAAATCAAAAATTAATGATTGAACTAGAGAAGTTTAAAAATGAATATCAAAATTTCAATGCGAAATATTCCAAGAAAAAGAATAAACCGTTGTCTGATATTTACGAATTAATCAAATCAGTTAATGAAATATCTATGGTTAAAAAACAACTTCATGCCATTAGAAAGCATCATAAATCCTTATTAACAGCTACTGAACAAAATTTCTATGAAGAGTCAACTGATTTTTAATGATATAGATAGAACTCTCACTTCCATATATGGATATTTTCTTCGTCTTTTTTTGGCATTTTCCATCAAACCCCTTGTATATAAATGATATTATTCTCAGATTGCGCAATAAAACATATGTTGGCAAAAACCACTTTGTTTTCTTTCCTATTACGTTTAGAGACCTTTGAAGTATCCAATAAATTTTATGTGTCTTACATAGTATATATTAACAATCGTTCTCTTTTAATATTCTTCACTACGTTTTATTTCTTCCGTTGTCCACTGTTTTTCTTATATTGTAAAAGTTGACTGATCTTTCCAATGTTAAAGATAATACCATAAAGGTATATTAATATAGAAAAATATCAAGTTTTTGTTATATAATTCACTAAAATAGTCTTGATAATTATTCTTCCATTTTAGTATTTTGAGATAAACAAACAACTATCTGAATGGCGATGAGATATCAAAAACAACAAAAAAACTCTATAAAAGCAAATCGGCATTGTCAACCAGATCGAGAAATCAATATATTACTATTAGGACAAACAGGAGTGGGAAAATCAACATTTATCAATGCATTTGCTAATTATATTGTTAATGACACGTTAGAAGAAGCAGTCAATGATGAAATACAAGTTATTATCCCATCTTCATTTTCTTATACCGATCAAGATACATTTGAGGAAAAACAGATTGCTATTGGTTTTGAAGACGAATATGAAACATTTTCCACTGAAGGTCAATCAAGCACACAACAATGTCGAAGCTTTGTTTTTCCAATTGGTAATAGAAATTTACGTTTGATTGATACACCTGGTATTGGTGATACTCGAGGTATAGAACAAGATTCAAAAAATTTTCAAGAAATATTAGCATACATTGCGCAATATGAACATCTAAATGCAGTATTTATCATGGTTCGACCAAATGAAGAACGTTTGAATATACTTTTTCGATTTTCTATCAATGAACTTCTTCGACATTTGAATATTGACATTAAAGATAATATTATGTTTGTTTTTACCAATGCTCGATCAAGTTTCTATATGCCCGGTTCTACCAAAAAACTTCTTGAAGCACTTTTTAGCAAACATCGTCTAGAATACAATGTTGAAATTCCATTTTCAAGAGATAATACATTTCTCCTTGATAGTGAAGCATTTCGTCATCTAGCATTATGTAAAAATAATATACAATTAGATGAAAATCAAACAAAAAGTTACACAAGAAGTTGGGAGCATTCTGTAAAAGAATATGCTCGTCTTATGCAACGCATTAATGCGCATTCTCTTCATGCTATTAGTAATATACTTTCATTAAATGAAGCTGAACAACTTATACGAAAACTTCCAAGACCAATTGCTGAAACAGCAAAATTGATTGAAGAAAATATTCAACTTGCAAAAGAGCATAAACAAAAAGTACTTAATAATCCTCAAATTGCATTAGAAGGCATCCCTCAAAATAATGCTATCATTAAAACATTAAAACATCCACGAACAGTATGTGTTGGAGAAAATTGTTGTCGAGTTATAGAAGTGAATGGTGAAAAGCAAATGGAATATTTACATATATGTCATGATGAATGTTATTTAGCAGGTGTTGTGCAAGAAACATTATATGATCCAAAACTACAAGATTGCACAGCTATGGAGCCTGAAGAAGGTAAAAGAATGATACTATTCTTCTTTCTATTTTATATGAATTTTGTTTTATTATTTAGGTTTTTGTACAGTTTGTGATTGTCATTGGTTGCAACATAAACATATTACTTATGAATATGCAACAGATCGCATTCATATCAAATCAAGTAAAGATATGACTTTAGCTGATATTGATCGACGTATTACCGATTTACGAAATGAAGAAAGTAAAATTCAAGATATCTATAGAAAACTTGTACGATTTCTTCATGTAAATGCCATATTACCCGTAAATGATGATTTTATTGAATATCTTCAATATTTTATTCGGGAAGAACAAATGAAACAAAGTGCCGGTGCTCAAAATACAGAAATTATTGGTAGTCTAGAAAGATTAAAGGATGATTATAATAAAGAAATGGGATTATATAAAAAAACATTAGAAGAACAGAAAAACTCAATAAATCCAAGTCAATTAGTGAAACCAGAGGAGATATTTATTTTAGTTGAAACTCTCTATGAACTACCTATTACCGGAAAACAGATTAAACAGCAAGTTGACGGAATAAGAATCGGTCAGACAAGGTCGGGTGCTCAGCGTGAAACTTTTGTTGAGCTACCAGCAAAAGCTGCTTCATCAAAAGTAATGCTCGAATTAAGAGAAATCGTTTCGACACAATCATAAAAAGTTTTAAATATGATTAATTAAGAGATATGTTAATTCTTTTTTAATTGTTTAAATAAATATAAAACAATGCATATAGAAAAAATTAAGAATATGTTGATATTCGATATGTTGAAAATTACGTAATTAACTTTGTTTCGATTAATAAACGAAGTATCAAATATCACAATTCAGTCTTTAATGATACAAAAAATGAATAGAAAAGAAAGTTTAAACATTCGTAACTTCTCTTCTCAGTCGGTAGTACACTTCATATAAACTTATAATCAATACTTGACAGAGGATATTCTAATACATAAAATATCCTAAAGTGATAATGATACTGATTTAAATACAAGTTAGTGAGAACACTGTATTGTAGACTAAAACTAATGAAAAGTTCGTACGATTAAGTTTCAAAGTAGAATAAAACGTTTTTTTCTCAATTGAGACTGTGAGTATAGGTATAGTGAATCGTTTGTGTCAGCGCTTCATGATGGAGGTTTTCACGTATAATATCATTGGACATGAGAACTTGTTCGTATATGTACTTATATGTCGATAGATAAATATTCCTTCAAGTCATGATGACGAAGCAAATATTTTGATCCTATTTAAATGCGAGAAAATGACAAGTATAGAATATTTCTGTGCATTAAAATCAATAAATTAGCGCATCATAAAACTACAATTTTCGATATTAAATATCATACAATTATTTAGATTATCTTCTATTAGATATTAATCAAAATTTATAAAGATGGTTAAAATTCGTCACTGGACTCTCCCAAATGGTTTTAAAGCTCATGTTAGTGAGAATGATCTTAAGTTAGTTGAAGAAGATTTATCAGAAGATCTTCAACAAGGAGGTTAATATTATTATTTCATTTGTTTTTCCTATCATATCTTTTTTTTTTATAATTTTAGAAGTTCTTTTGGAATCAGTTTATCTCTCGGTTGATCCATACATGCGGTAAATATATTTATTCAATTAAACAAAAAAATATCATATTTATATTTAGTATTCATGGTGACCCTATTGGACCACATAAAACTATGTTTGGTGAAGCTTGTTTAAAGTAAATTTATTTTTTGAAATTAAACATCAATATATTTATTTTGTTATTAGAGTAATTAAGACTCGTAATGGTGAATTTCCTCTTGGTACACTCGTTCTTGCAAATAGTGGATGGAGAAGTCACTATTTATCAAAAGACGGTAAAGATCTTCGATCAATTCCATATGATCTAGGTTCACTTTCACCTTCCGTTTCACTTGGTGTACTTGGTATGCCTGGGTAAAAATAAAAATAGTTATTTTCCAAAAATAATTCTTTTCATTTATCAATATAGATTAACTGCCTATTTTGGTCTTCGTATATTAGAACCTAAAGCAGGTGAAATTTGTGTTGTGAATGGAGCTGCTGGTGCTGTTGGATCTTTAGTTGGTCAGTTAGCTAAACAAAAAGTAAAGATTAGTTTTTTTTATTGTATATATATATATATTTATTGTTTAACAGGGTTTGACCGTTATTGGTTTCGCTGGTTCAGATGAAAAATGTAATTGGTTAACTAATGATCTTAAATTTGATTATGCATTTAATTATAAAAAGATTTCACTTGAAGATGCCTTCAAAAAAGCAGCACCAAAAGGAGTTGACGTGTTTTTCGATAATGTGAGTAATACTATCAAGTTTTATACATGATAAAAAATATGTTTTTTAGGTTGGTGGTGATTTTTTTCATGAAATGGTTACAAAACATATGGCACATAATGGACGTGTTAGTATATGTGGTTCAATCTCAAATTATAATGACACAGAAAAACATAAATGTATTTTTTATTCTAATGTCTATTATTGTAAAATAATTTCTATTTCTAGTTCCACAAATTAATATGGATATTCTTTTTCATGAATTGACTATTCGTGGTTTTATGGTTTATTCATTTGAAAAAGAATTCGATACAGCTTTTAATGATATGGTTCCACTAGTAAAAAAAGTAAATAAGCAAGAAGAAGATGAACGAATTTGTTTATAGTCTGAATATTTTTTCTAGGGTGAATTGAAATTTAAAGAAACTTTATTTGAAGGTTTTGAACAGATGCCAGCAGCATTTGTTGGATTATTTAAAGGTGAAAATACAGGTAAAGCTATTGTTAAAGCAGGCAATTATCCATAATTGATAATCATAATTTTCTTATTTGTATTCGGTGATCTTTTTCTTTTATGTAATGCGACTTTTTTAAATAAAATTTGACTAGTCTTATTAAAGCAACTATTATAATTTATTTTTTAGAGAGTTATAGTCTTTGTCACAATCCTTAATAAATATGCAACTTATCAAAAAAAAGTAGTAGAGTTGTGATGAAACTTTATTTAATCTGTTAGTAGGTATGCATATATAAACATTGTCATAAAAAATAGATACAAAATAGAAATGTTTTGTTAGCAGGTGAGGATGGGTTTGTGTGTATGCGAGAGCATTATATTATGTTCACATTCTCATCCATACAGATTCTCATCTACTTTTCGTATCAAAATTGCTGAAAACTGAGATTAGAAACTGATAAAAAGATGAATAACTACGTAGAAAAAAGTAACAATTTTAAATCGTATACTTTATTCTATCGGTGTTTATCTGATATGCAATGTGTGTGTTTATCTACTTGATATTGTTATCTCATGTCGTTTCAACTTGCGCTCTAAGGATAATAAGCACGATTTTTGGTATATAAGATTGTTGTTTTCTTTTTTGGCGCATTTACTCTTTCTTATAACGAGTTATGATGTGGCCAACACTTGTTTGGTTGCTTGTGTTCTTGATAATGGTAAACGATTCGTTCTCAAAAATACATAAATCTATCGTTGACACTGTGACGATGACGCCATCCCCTATTCCAGATACCGAATTCGAACAAGTCATTGCTGAACGTTATCTATTTGCTCCATTTAAAAATGAATGTACAGCCTGGACGGTACTCAATAATGTTGCTTATGTATGGCAGGCTGCTTCATTGCCACAATATCATTTTCAAGCTGCTGAGGGAGTTTGGTTACTAATGCAGACCAATATTAATATTTCAAACACTCATCAGTCAGCAACTGGAAAACTTCAAATGTCTTATATGTCTTTATCTGCCAACGGTACTTTGATAGTTTTACCCGAGATTGATGTTAAGAGCAATGCTAGTTTTTTGGTCGTATCGCATAATACCAGCAGTGCACTAGCCTACACAGCTGCTCTTATCTCACCACAACATGTACAGTTAATTGTATGCGATCGATCGGATGCTACTTTGTGCAGAGTGACGCGAACTATTGCATTTCCTTCTATTCTGGCTAACACCACTAGAATAACATCTGGTGTATTTGTAGAAGATCAAGGTATTGCAGGATGGTTATATATTGCTTCCGATTCTGGTTTACATGGATTGGATCTTTCTACATTCATGATTGATTCCTTTTTGAATGGAATTAATGTATCCGTATCCTCTTTAGCATGGAGTTCCAAACGAAAAACAGTATTCGCTGGCACGGAATTGAAACTTTGGATTTATACATATGAGAGTACCAACCGTGGGTGGCGTTTTGAGCACATTCGCGGACTTATTGATGCAGCAATTACATCACTAGTATATAATGATGTGCAAGATAAATTATGGATTGGCCAGAAAACTGGAATTACGCTTCTCTCACCCGCTGTTATGTCGACGGGGAAACTTCGTTGGTACTTTTCTAGACTGGCCGGACAAATTTCGAATCCTGGATCAGACATTGGCCATCTTCCATTTGCCAACATTACTACCTTGAGTGTGAGTCATTCTACATTATCTGATAGTCGAGTCTGGTTAGGCGCTATTCATGGAGTCATGCGTTTTGATTCGAATGATACGGATCAAAATGCTTGGCGCGTGTTTAATAGCCCTAGGTATATGCCTAATCGTGACGCATTAGTTAATGTAATTTCATTGGCGGTATTGAGTCGTCCTAGTAATGCAACTGCTAGACTGGGTAGTGCTGCTGTAGCGGTTAGCAGCAAAGGCTTATCCGTTCTTCGCTTTGAGATGTGGACATTGGCTAAAAAAGTAGAACATTTTCAAGCGTTTTTCAATCAACCAAACAGACACGAAAAATATGGTCTGGTGTCTAGTTGCCGTATGTCATCGTGGGGTGATAGTCGAACGTGCGTCAAAGGAGCAACTAATAGTGATGCTCTTTGGACGGCCATGTATGTAAGCAGCCAAAGCTTTCGTTATAAAGTGACACAAGATAAAGCCGTCAAAGTAGCGGCTTGGAAAATTTTTGAAGCAGTGGAAGTACTCAATAAAATCACAGGTAGTATGAGAGAATCATAATTATTAATAGTTTCTTTTTTTGTTAATATATTTTTCAGGTATCTCGGGTTATCCTGCTCGCTCATTCGCTAAACGCACTGACTTTCCGTATGCACCTCAGTGGTATCCTTCTCCAGTATATCCAACACTTCAATACCAAGGTGATACTTCATCCGATCAGATCGCTGGATATGAATTTGCTTTCCCACTTGTTCACGATCTGTTAGCTGAAACCGAAACTGAGAAGATAAGAGCTTATACACTACTCTTAAATATGACTACTCATATTCTGAAGCATGATTGGTATTTAGTTGGCGAGAATCAGACTCGTACGACATGGGGCATATGGAATCCAATATTTGTGAATGACGACTGGGGTTTCCTAGATGATCGAGGTCTCAACAGTCTGCAAATACTGGCTTTCTTACTTCAAACTTATGCTTACAGCGGTGATGAGATGTTTCTCGATGGTGCTGAACTTCTTGTTGAATCCTATCAATACGATGCTAATCTTATTAATCCAAAAATGATTGCCGTTTGCGATGAAGATTTCTCAGATGATCAACTGGCTTATCTGTCCGATTTTAATCTAGTTTATGCAATCAACACGATTGCTACGACGACCAAATTATCTACAGCTCAGAAAGCACGGGCAAAGTCGATTACCGATAATTTATTGGAACATATGAGGATTGGATTAGATATATCACAAAGGTATAAACAAATGGAGAAATCTCCATTCTATAACTTATTCTATTGTTATGCCAGTGGTCAGCTAAATCAAACACGACATCTGTTTAGCAGACCTTCTACATTTCCTTTTGATTTCGATTGTAGTTCCTTACTAAATGATGGTGTCTGGCAAATGCAGCGTTGGCCATTGGAGCTCATCAGTTGGCCACAATACATCATTGATCGTTTAGATATTCAACAAAATTTTCCAGCTACCTGTGGAGATAGACCACAATCATTGCAAATGTTACCTCCTGATGAGCGACTCATTCATAAATGGAGCTTTAGTGTCTATGACTTATCGTTATTTGAACAAGATGGACTTCGTGAAGAAGATCCAGTCGCTTTCCTGATAAGTTATTGGGCAATGCGTTACTTTAACTTGCTAGAATAATAACAATTTTGTAGCGTATATCATCGAAAATATTCGACTAATTAATCACCAATTTTTAATTTTAAAGTACTTTTTTGTTTTTGATCTATATGAATAAATTCTACGACATCTTTCTCGAAAAAACCGTTGTCATCATTTTCTACTTCTAGAAGACAAATGTTTAGCTAGGCGTTCTGATTCTTGTAGCCGAACGTTTATGTATGCACGATACACTTCGATATTATTGTGCAGAGCAAGTTCGATTTGATAGAGTAAAAAAAACGCGAAATTTAACGTATGAGTTCTAACCGAATCGAAATAGATAAGTAATAAGAGTAAACTTCACTCTAAAAATTGATACGTAAAAAATCTCATATATAATTAGGATTAAGTTTATTTTTATTAAAATACAAAAATTGAACTGCATGAAAAAACAGCTGTATAAACGTCGTTTTTAATTTCTATCAAATTTTTGCTCTCGATGAGTAAACCTTAAATCAAAAGAAGATTCTGAGTATATGTATAGAAAGAGCATAATATTGCCATTCTAGATAACTAATAAATAGACAAAAATCGAGCAAAGATTTTTTACACGCAGGTAATACTGAAGTTTTAAAACAAAATCTTGATGTGTAGATCATGTTACAGCACTTGTTCATTGTTCGATAAGATTTTGAATTACTAAACCTTACACATCTACTAGGACAAACAAACAGTATGATTATGATAATATTAGTTTCTATTCTCAATAATAGATAATGATTGGTAAATAGTCTTTATCTTACTAATGTATACTATTGCCATTGAAATAATAATATTATGATAAATATGCAGATCAATAACTATGAATCTGATATATAAAACAAACTATTTTAATATTAATGTATACAATATCCTCCATGTTATTATATACTTCACATAGTAAATTTTAAGAATGTAGAGCGAGACAAAAGGCGCAAGTCTTGAAGTAGAGAATTCATTATGAATCATCTACTATACTAGCGTTCCCAGTAGTTGAATTTCTATAGACTAAATAAATAATATATCAACTTGTTCTGAATTAATCAAATAAACTTTAAATATTAATCATATTTTAGAAAACTATGGTAGAAATGACTCACTGAAAAGATATTCATCATAATAGGCTTCATAATAATCACATTAAAACAAATGTTTATTCACGTAAAAGAATAACATAAAGCGCACATTAAATTCAGGCAAAAAAACATTACAAAATGTTATTCTCATCACATACAAAATAAAAGAATAAGATCAGCATATATAGAATATATACTATAACGAAGGATATGAGATAAGCAAGGACATCAAAATACGTGCTCGTATGATAACTGTTGTAATATATATCCTAACGTGCAAGACGTTGATAGTCAATTCTGTCCGATCTAATAATATTATCATCGACAAATTAAATTTATTTTATATTAATAATTACATATTTTATTAAATCATTAAAGGAGATATTTATAAAATAGATTCTTTACATTTATCATAGAGTAATTTGATCAGATCGATAAAGGTCTACATACAACTGCTTGTAATTTAAACCTTTTTTTCAAGTGATTCTATATCAGACTATTATCATATTATATAAAAAGTAAAGATTAATATTTCATTAAAATACTTTTGCTATTTAATAGGAAAATTCATTCTTTTAAGTTCAAAAATTGTCCTTGTTTTTTAATATTATATCTATAGTCTATATACAATAACATAGAAAAATTGAAATACAATAAATAGACTTCTGTTTTTTGTTCTTTGCTATTTGGTCAACGAATAATATAAATGTACAAAAACGAGAAATGTATACTGCATTCTTTGCTTTTCTTCTTCTCCTTCTCCTTCCTTCTCCTCGTTCTTTATCCGTTTTTATTTTTCTTTATGTCTCCTTCTTGCTGTTAGTTTAGACTGTCGTCGAACTATGGTATTAATATTGTGCAAAGTGAACGCCGACGAGACGGATAGAAGAATGTGTGACTCACCTCTTTTTCTCTCTCTCTCTACTCATTGAGTTAAGAAGAAGAAGAAAAAAAACGGTCGTTATTTTCTTTCACTTTCTCTTGCCAACATTGACGAGCTGATGACGAACGCGCACACACATAGTCATGACTGATGAGACATCAACTTCATCATTTCCAGTTAAATACCTTGGCAACTAAAAAATAACATTAACTAGTTATTTTTCGTCTGATTCATAGATTTCTGATACTGAGTCTGAGAAAATGAAATATACATGAATTGGTTAACAATTTACAACTTCCCTTTCTCTAGAGTGTTCTATCACGCCATAGGATTTATTATTTTTCTTATTTCTCTATTGACATGCATGATGACTCACATAGAGAATTGATCCTTGAGTATATAAATATGTCCATTATTTATTGATATAGTTTATTTCAGAATAAGCAAAATAAGAAATTTATGGCAGAATCATCGACAGCTGATTATATATTTAAAATAGTTTTAACTGGTGATTCCGGTGTTGGAAAATCTAATTTATTATCACGTTTTACACGAAACGAATTTTCACTTGAAAGTCGTTCAACAATCGGTGTAGAATTTTCCACAAAAGAAGTACAAGTCGATGGAAAAACTATTAAAGTACAAATATGGGATACTGGTAAGAATTTTTTTGAATAAAAAGAAAAAAACAACATACATTTGTTTTTGTGTATTATCTATAGCTGGTCAAGAACGTTTCATGGCAATTACAAAAGCTTATTATCGTAATGCCTTAGGTGCTCTTGTTGTTTTTGATATTCTTAAAGCATCAACATTCCAAAATCTTGATCAATGGTAAGAAGAAAAAAACAACAACGAAAATTTTATTTTTTTATAAAATTCATTTTCTTAGGTATAATGAAGTACGAGCTAATGCTGGTATTGATTGTTCAATTATTTTACTAGGAAATAAATTAGATCAACGACATATACGTGCTGTTCTTCATGATGATGCCAAACGTTATGCTGATGAAAGAAATATTCAGTAAGAATTTCTTTTCAAATAAATTAATTAAGATTTATATTTTTTTTCTTAGATATGTTGAAACATCAGCATTAGATTCAACAAATGTTGAACAAGCATTTCGAACACTTATCGCAGATATATATCGTCATTGGGCAGCTCGTATGGATTCAATGAAACAAGAATCTAATACACTCTCACAACAACATATTCCCCAAACAATTAAACCAGGATATTCATCAACAACATCAAATCCAGCAGCTACAAATAATTCATGTTGTAGTAGTTTTACATAGAACATCAAACGTTTTTTTCTTCTCTTATGTACAATGTGTACTATTTCTTCTTCTTTGTTTTTTCTTTTGTCATAATTGAATGAAGGAAAGAATCTCTCTCATAAATACGCGCGAAACAAATGACTTGTGAAAGTGAATATTCATTTATATGTTTATCTAGTAAAAAAGAGTATCATTGGTTATGGATCCTATTACCTATTAGTCTTCTGATTGTTTTTCTTCTTTATATATTTTCTCATCCAAATTATGCAAGATTATCATCATATACTTATCAATCAATCAATCCAACAAAAAATTCCCTTAATTTACGTCCACTAAAACAAGAAAATGATGTATTTAATCAACAAGTTAAATATTCAATGCCTGAAGTATCATCGAAATTTCTATTTGAACAATCGAAAGAAAGAATAATACCAAAGAATAATAGTGTATTACATATAGACAAAACACAATATAAAACGAGTGCGTTTTTATAACAAGTGTTAAAATTTTTATTGAAATATCCACTCCTATTGTTAGACAATGAAAAATAGTATTAGTAGAAATGCAGATGATTAAAATTTTAATACTTGACTTGCTTCTTAAAAAGAAGTCAGTATAAAATTGTTTCTCTATTATCGTTCCTTGCATACTTTTACTCACATTTGAATTTTCAATTCCAGTAGTCACTTATCACTATAATTGTTAAGACAATAGACTATTCACACTATTGTACTTTTTGTACAACTCACGTAAATTTTCGAAGAAAATCGTGAGCGTAAGTTTTAAGTTCAAGTTTTCCAGCTTCCCTCGCCCCCCCCCCCCGGATTCAATAAAAATAAGCAAAAATCATTAAAAATAGCTATAAATTAATTAAATTTGAGCAAAAAAAGAAAACAAAGCACTTAAACGTGATCAGATATTTTGATGCGAATATACGTGAGTTCCACATTTTCAGCCCTAACCGGGCTGCGCTAATAAGCTTTTCATTAATTGATTATACTAGATTTCAAATATCTGATTAAGACTTTTTCTTATTTTGATAGCTCGTGAATTGAATAATCTAACTTCTTCTCCTGAACTGTTAGATCATCCATCAATTAATAATTCCAATGATGCTTCTATTAATCAATGGAATGAATTACGTACACCTGTATTAGCAAATTATCCGGATCTAATTGATGCTGCAGAAGCACGTCGAATACATACGGAATCATATTCTCGAAATAAAGATCATCCATTATTATCCGATGATATTATTAGATTAATTAAGAAAGGTTTCGGTGAATCTGATCCATATCCAACTAAGAATAATCTTGGACGAATATGGTTTTTTCTTGAATATAATCCATATTTAAGACAATTATATTTAACAATTATTAAAGCACGTTGTCTTCGTTCGATGACAAATTGTGAACCAACAACATTTGTTCGAGCAGAAATCTTACCGAAATTAAATCTTTCATTTTCAACAGATATTATTAAAGAAAATTCTAATCCAAATTATATGACAGAAACAATATTTAATATAAATCTTTCTGAATTTTCATATAATATACTTAAATTAACTGTACATGAAGTTGATAAAGATGTTTTTCATACACCTATTGGTACTACATATTATCCTCTTGATCATTTACTTATTGCACAACGTGCAAAAGGACATGCTGTATGGAGAAATTTGTTTCCTGGTATGGAAAATCTCAACATTAATCTTAAAGATAAAATTTTATTATAGAATATGGTGATCCATCAGCTATTGGTCTTATTCAAATTCGTGCTACTGTTTTTTATGATGCTAAAAACGATTGTTTAAATATCTATGTTCATTCATTACGTGCAACAGGTGTTGTTAAACAAGCTTATCAAGTTTATGTACATGCATCAGTTGCTATACATGATTCTCCTATTATACCTCAAGAACATCTAGAATCTTCTCATAGTAAATATGGTCCAATTGTTTCCTTGGAACAATATAATGATACAATTTATGATCAATTATTTCGATTTACGGTTTATAAACATGAATTTAATGAAATGACTGTTGTCTTAGATGTATATCGTCGTTCATTAGGTGAAGAATTTTTTAATGATATTCTTCTTGGACGTACTGTAGTTGTTTCACCAGAAATGTTAACAAAAAATTTAAATACTGAAATACAATCACCATCAAATATAACAGAAGAATCTCCATTAAATCCAGATAATGAAAAAAAAATTGAACAGAAGAAAAAACATAAAAAAAGAAATATATCGATTAAATATAATAAATGATGTACAATTTACGTATTTAGGTGATTGGTAAAAATCAAGACATGATTTTGTCATGCCCCATTTTGTCTACTAATAGATACATTCCCTGATATCGCCCATAAGAAAAAAAAATTATTTTTGTTAATGCTTTGATTAATTATAGAAAAGAGTGTACGAATTGTTCGTTAAACACAATATTCGTGACTTGATTGTTTTCTTTTAATAAGAAAAGTACAGGTATGACATTACCCTATGTTTCAATACATAACAACGAGCTAGTTACGCACGAGTGCTTTTAATACTTTATATAAATTTCAAGTAAGTATTCTATCTATTTATATTAAACACCTTGAATTACAATAAAAAGCAAATATGGCAGTCAACAATTCAACTGGTATGGGTTCCCGAACAATTCGACAATACAATCGAGTTGCCAATGAAATGATGAGATTTGTAAACAATACTTATGAATATGATGAATCAAATTCAAATGATAATCAATGGTATAAACATCAATCTAGTGGAACAAAGAGAAATGTATTGATCAAAAATCATGCTACTCAATCACCTAAATTTAATCCTGTACAAGCATCGCCACCTGTTCGTAAACAACGCACTCCACACAAAAAGTCACGTTAAATTATTTTTTTTTCTTCTTATTCTTACGAAATAAAATAACATGTATATTTAATAGCAGAAAGAGAAGGAAAATGTTTTCTACTTATTCTTAATGCGAAATAAAAAAAAATAAACCACGTAAGGCAATGTATATATATACAGGTACATTACATGATTATTTTACATTTGTACGAACATCATCAAACGAGTGATAGGATGCCGAAGTTTTATCCTTCACATCATCATAGAAGTACTTATATTCAAGCTCGACCATTCGATGAATTTTTGATTGGACAACCTATTGATCATGTAGTTTCTTCAGGTGGTATCAGTGATATTCAGATTGCTGCACGACAAGATCCTTCTTTAGCGCAGAATTATGTTCCTTCTGGATCATTTGCTCAGAACGCATTTTCAACTGCACTTTCACGTCCTGGTCCTTCTATTGATATATTTAAATAGTTTAATTTTTTATCAATTTTTTTAACGAAAAAAAATTAATAAAATCGATGCTTAAATTTTAAAAATATAAAACAAAAACTTGCATTATTATTTCGCAAGATCGAATATAGAGAAGTGAATCACGCAGCTCTGTAAAGAGCGCGATAAAAAAAGGTAATTGCATAGGCAATAAATGTTTTCGATGACGTTAGATTGATGTTATCGAATAATTCAGAACATGGAAAAAACCAACTGATAAAATTCAACGATAATTATGTATATTCTAAGAATTATATTTATTATTAAATTTGAAATTTTACAAAAATTGGAAATACTTTCTAATGTTTTTTTTTTGTTTAAATCTAACTTATAGTTCCATATGTTTGCTGATTTATTGGCATTTGTTTTTTATCATTATAATGTTTTCGTATTTGTTTTTCGAATAAACTACATGGCATTTCAACAAGTATAACAACAAATATTGATGTAAATAAAGTTAGAATTATTTGTGATATGAAATTATTCAAAACTATACTTGTTTGATAATGAATAGTTGTTAAATGATTATAAACTTGTGTAAGAATAATTATTGGATGAATTAAATAAGCTGAATAACTTAAACGAGCTATAATTGTCCAAAGAGGCCATGAAAGAATTTTATTTATTAATCCACCATGATTAGTAGAACAAGCAAAGATTAACCAACCAACTGCTATTGCCCAACATTGACGAGATAATGATTGATAGATAATACCAAAAAATTTAGGAAAATAATTTGAATAAAATGGAAAATAAATACAAATCATTGCCAGAATAATTGAAATGATTGTATAGAAAATAATTTTAATTTTAGATAATGTAGAATGATATTGTTCAATAATTAATCTTGTTATCATACCAATAATAAAAGGACCAATTCGACACCATGGTGTTATATAAACTTTCTCGAAAAAATCCAATGATGGACTATCAAAATCAATTAAACCTCCTTCAAAATGTGGATTTTTACTAATTATACATATTGTAGTAATTATATTTATCAAAAGAATAATCAATAATAATGCATATGTTAATCGACGACGATTTAATATAAATGGTATAAGAAGTATTGGAGCTAATAAATGGAATTGAAAATCATTTGCAATATACCTTTCATAAAATAGAAAATAATTAAATATATGATTTCTATATCGACTGTACTAAGCTCATAATTGATTCTCCATTTAGAACAGAGAGTATAGTTATTAGTACAAGAGTAATAATTGTTTAGTGTTACTATCAGAGATGGGCAACTCCAACTCCATCAATCTTTTCAGGGCTCCACTCCAACTGCGACCCCGATGTTTGCGATATCAAATCTAACTCCAGGTAAAAAAGCGTCAACTCCGGAGTTGGCTTTGCTCACCTCTGGTTACTATATATAGTCTTTGGTTTCGCTATTTTAAGTGCTTGACATTATCATCCTATTACAAGTATTAACATCGATCGATTTTGTAATTTATACAATTGTGTATATTCTCGGCAAGATGCTATTAAAATTTAGTGGATTTCGATGACAAAAATTAAAGATTAAGTAAGATTCCTAGGTAGATAATTGGCACTGATTAATCCTCAGTTACTGTTGTGGGGTCCACGTGGACCCACTTTACAGATTTTCGTCTCGCACTATATAACTATTTACTGTTTCGAGTCATTTGTTTTATGTAACCTCTAGTCATTAATAGGTATACAATATCCATGTGAAAAATCATGCCCAGATCTAAGAGAGAAAAAATGCGGATATAGA